GTCACGGCACAGCCCCGCGTCTGTTCATCCCCTGTTTTTTGCCTTGGCTGAGCAGCTCTATCGGTGTAGACTGCCTGCTTTTCTGCCAAGGCGCAGGGGACATTTAACAAATCGCATTTTTTCAGCACATATTCCTTCTCTGCAAAGCTGTTGGCTATTCCTATCTTTTTAAAAAGTCTTAAAAAAAAAAAAAAAAAGAGTTGTTTGTGGTGCTAATGGTATGGAATGAGCTAAAGCTTTATGCCATTTTTAGTGCTCTTGGAACTGAGAGAATTGGAGGAACTGAAAATATATGCTTAATCGCCCCCAAGAAAGACTGCCATAATATTTTGGGTTGCATAAGCAAACTAAATTGGAAATCTGGAATCTATTCAAGACCTTTTGATCAGGGAGCTTTGCAAGTGCAGAAAAGTAAAAACACAGACAGATGGGGATTAGAGTTGAGCATCAGGAGAATAATTTCCTCTTTTAATTTCAGTTCCGCCAACATATAAAAAGCATTAACAATCCCGTTACGTAACCTGCGTCAGAGCCAGCTCTACGGAGCGGCAGCGCTCGCCGCAATTAAGCCGTTGGTTGTGCTGCCTCTGTGCAGCACAGGGGTTGCTTTGCACGAGCAAACGAACCCCCCCTCCAAAAATCTGGGCAAATGGCTGGGCCAAAATGAGACCTGGTGATGGAGGCTAACGGGAGCTGCAGGGGGCCGGGACCATGGGAGCCCGCTCAGAGATACCGCTGCGGTTGCAAAATCCAATTGAATCGCTTGCAAACCCCAATCCGCCCTGTTTTGTCACTAAATCGGCTTCGGTGGGAGGAGGAAGATTAGGCCGAGGAGCAAGCGGAGATATTTTTTGCTGATTGTTTGATAGCGGGAACAATGGGCCGTGATAGGCTTTGTGCTGCTCTTGTGGCAGGGTCGTTGAGAGGAGGCACTGCGCTGGGAGGCTGGCAGCGGCCCCAAGAGCTGGCAGAGCCGACAGGTTTCTGTTCTTGCCTGTTCTCCATGTCTCAGGGTGTTTTTGCGTATGGCGCTGATGCAGAGCGGTGCAAAAAAGTACTAAAAAGGTGGCTTTTTAGTGCAAGGACTGCTTGCTAACTGGATGCAGTTTTTGAGCTGGTTTTGAGGAGTCTGGCACAATATCCGTATATGCTGAGATGGTCCCATTTCTTCCAGGTAGTCAACTTTATTTATTTTTTTAAGCAGGTTTATCTTGCAGTTACTCTTGCTTGCATTTCAATCTCATTACACAAACCTAGGTGGGAGTAGGACTGAAATTCCACAGAGCAGCTCTGCTTTTCTTCATTTCAATTAATATCAGATCTGGGAAGCCAGCCGTATTTTTGGCATCGCTTTTTGTTGCTCTGCATTGGCACGAGCTCGGAGGAGCCTTCAGCCCCCCTGCAGCGCTTCCCAAAGCTGGTGGAGCTACCCCAGGTGTGTTTCTCCAGCCTGCAGAAATCCCAAATTGGCCAGGATGAGCCAGGGGGAGCTCTGGCTGGTGGTGGGATGGATATGGTAAGGAAATCCCTGCCTCTTGGCAAGCCCTGGCCGCTGAACCAGGGTCTGAACCAGCGCCGAGCCCGGCCGTTCATCAGAGCCAGGCACGGTGGCTATTTCTGAGCCACGGCAAGAAGAGTCGCTCACGTGTGAGCAGCACTCTGCAGGCTAATTGGCCATGATGAATAAATAACAATAAGGTGGAAGCCTTAAAAAACTAGTTTTACACAACTGGCACATCTTCCCCATTCAAATGGGTTATCCCGTAGGTGCGCATGAGATCACAGCCTGCTATTTAAAGAGGAAACCTCGACTTACATAAATGTCTGATTATGCAACTGTCATGGAAACCAGAGATGACAAAGATGCTTTAGATTGGCTTGTCCATTCCCTCAGAGAGCTGGACTGTTCCTTGCAGTTTATTTTTTGCTCAAGATTTTAAGAAATGATCAGTGACTGCCAGGTGCCGAGCTGGAGAAGAAATGATTTATAGAGAGAGCTGAGTTGTCACTTTTCTAAAGGTGATTTGCTTTGGAAACTCAAGAATAGAAGAGCTTTAAGTCGCATCCAACGGTCCTCACACTAGCTTAGTTCAGCCCCGTGCTTATATGTTCAGCATACCATGGCTTTCATTACTTAAAGAATGTGCCAGAGTCTTAAAGGACACTTTTCTAGTGTTCTGCTTGACCTTTCTTTAATTTTCACCCCCTAACACTGTTGTCTTTCCAAATAATAATCCATCTTTCGCTGTTTCTGCACCCTGCCAGCGCGTTCCTCATGTGCTGCTGTTGCTTAGCCAAGCTATACAAATTTAGCTCTTTTTAATCTTCTCTCATAGGTCAGTCTTTCTAGACACACTCATTTTTGCTGCTACACAGGGAAATCAGCGGAGATTAATATTTTAATCTTCTTTCCCTGTTTAAAGAAACCCCAGGAACTGTGCACAATGAATGGTTTTCCTTAGACTTTAAATTAGTGTTTAAAAATAAATATATTTTTATATGCATTTCTCCACCTTTGCTTCTAGTTCCTCTGTGTTATTGACTTACCTGTTCTTTGGCCTTCTAAGGAAACAGCATTTTAATTATTTTGAACAGATTTAATTTCAGTTTGGTTTCCTGCGATGACCAGAGTAAAGTCGTTACATCACAAATGATGTGGCTTAGTCTGACCTGGGCTAGCCAACCTGGCTAATTCTGCACAATTAACCCGGACTGGTTTTAACCCAAACCCTCTGGACTGTCCAGGTCCCTCCAGAGACTTGGGATTTGGGAGGATGTGTACATGTACGGAGACAAAAGATTAACTAATATTTACTGTCATTTGTGTAAACTGCTTCCTCTTTTATGGTGTTTTCTGCTGGCCAGCAGTGTATTTCGGAGCTTTTATTTTCCTTGCAGTTGGCCTCATCCTCTCTGACTTAATCCCAGTGGTCACCGAGTGCAGCTTTCCAATCCAGTCATTGATTTTTTTAATTATTATTATTTTTAATTTAATTTATTTTTTTTTCCTGAGGCAGCTGATACAGGGAGCAATTATGGTGGTGATTTCTCTGTAATATGGATCTCAGTTGACCACATGGTGAAGGGACGTGTGCTTATTTTGCACAGAACCCCACTACGGGGCAATACTTTCCAGCCACTGCCCAACTGAGACAGATTTGACCCTAGAGATGAAAATTCAGATTGCAACATCTCACCCCGAATATCGTTCCATCAGTGAGACGGCAATGAAATGTAGTGCTTGTGGCGTGATTTGTAAGACAGAAGTGCTCCAACTATTCATCTTAAATCACAGCACTTGCACTACATATAGGCAAACGGACTTTTATTTTTCTGAGCAGGTCAGATAACTTCCAACCTCTTCTTCAAGTATTTAACGCAAGTTCTTAAAAGCAAGAACCTGTTTCGTTACACTTAAAAGAACAAGCTACCCCCAAGGGAATTTGCTCATCCTCTCCCCATTGCTCTGCAGCCGCTGCCAGCATCGCTGCTCTCCTCTCCTCTGACAACACAGGCGTTTCCGCAGGAATGATCCCTGAATTTCAGATGGAAGAGCCTCCAAGATCCTTCTAAATAATTTCAGCATGAGATATCGTAAGGAAGCTAAAAATCAAAGGCATGAGGGCTTGCATATTTAAAAAGATGGAAAAGGCTCTCAGCAAAATGAGAACCACATTGGCGGGGCTGGGAGTTTTCCCCGGTACAGATTCCGAACGGGGTCACGGGTTCGTCGTACGCTGGCAAGCGCAGATGCCGTGTGTTCAGCATAGGCAGTAATTACCTCTCCTCTTTCTAAATTATGTTATCAGGAAACATCTATATTGTTTGTATGGGTCTAGATTACGCTCTGAGAATAGAATGTTCTCTGCACAAAGAGCGCGGTTGGGGTAAATCAATGAGAATGCACTCAGAAACATCAATTAAAGGTAATACAAGTCTTTAGCGCAGGATCAGGGAGCTAGCATAGTTTGAGATTCCTATTTTCCCAACCCTGCCTTCCTCCCCAGGAAAGCAACAAAGCAGAACTACTCAGAAATTCATAAGGTTTAAAAATAAAACACTTGTCTCTTCTCATCCTCTTCTCTGCTCAGGTTTTCACTCAGTGCTGTTTCCCAGCTTGGTGTGTGAACATCCTGCTGTTCTGCAGGAGATCTCAGTCCTCTGCTGGGCTGGGGCTATGGTTCTGCACCCTGGTACTGGCATGCTTGTCCCAAAACCCCTGCAGCCCGGTTTGCTGAGATGCCCAGAGCTTCTCCCAGGTTTTGTCCCAGCTCTGCTGCACCCAGGCACCTTCACACCACCACCCAGGAACTGCAGATATCCCAAACTAACGGATATTTCTCAATACAACATAACAGGGCGAACAGAAGATAGAAGCAGGAAATAAATCCAGACCTTTTGCCTTCCTAGCATTTCATACCTGGTGCTCATTTCCAGAAGGGTGAGCAATCTGGCCACCTTTGGACGTAACCAGCAAGGGAGATCTACGTAAATGTCGTCAGCGTGTTCTCTGCTGGTTCCAGTGATTTTCTGTTATTTTGGAAAATGGGAAATTAATGTGAATCTTCCGTCAACCTATTAATTCTATGTCCCCTTCACAGACATTAATTCAAATGCGAAACCTGAGCCCAGCTTTGAGCCTCCCCTGCACTCGCAGTGGTGCACGTACGGGGCTCTTGTTTGGCTCCATTTGTTACCTACGTGACACTCATCGATCATGATGATTGTGATGGGGATAGGTGGAAAATTTTCCCCTAGCTACTTGGGGAAAAAAAAAAAGGACCTTATGTAGAATTTATAAGGTTTTCTTCAGCTAAGCTAATTATTCAGGAAACGGTATTTTTCATTTCTCTGCAAGAAGCACAGGCAAGCAGATTCCATTCATAACCCAAATACCAAACAGCTTTAGCACCTTCAGTTTTAGTGGCTTATTTTATTAATACTAAGGTGGTGTGGTGGTTGGATTTTTTTTTTATTTTTTTGAATGCTTTTCCCTTCAGGCAGAAAGCTGCTCCCTTTTCGTCACAGCCTCTATAATGAATTGCCGTGTACAAAGCCGGTCATACAATACGCAGCAGCAGCACGGAGCGAGAATCTTTGGGAAGAGTTTCCATAGAAACACTGACGTCCTCCTGGCGAACAGGACACCGAGTTCCTTCAATGGGAGGTATGGGGTTTTAAAGGAGCAGTTGGGTGGCAGGGAGCCAAGCCAGCAGAGCTATGACTCTGCATCTCCCAGCAGAATAGGGGGGGTTGGGGGTTCAGCTGGTGGGAGAAAAATAACCCAATTACCCTCGCATTAGCAAAATGTCGGGTTTGATGGTTGTTGCCGAACGGTGCTGCATATACCCTGGTAAATAATTAAACCGCTGACCGCAGAGTGCACAAGAGCTGGGAGCCAAAGGCATAAATACCCAGGGCTGCGAAATAGCTGCTCCTAAAACCTTGTCAGGTTTTGTCACAGATTCCATCCCCAGGAGCCTTAAATTCGGCACAGGGCACCATGACGCAGGCTTAACCCTCCCGGGGCCAGGCAAGGTTGCACCCAGCGGCGCGCCCTCCCCTCCGCTGCTTGTCTTGGAAGCAGACAAGTGTTTTGCTAATGTTCTAGCTCCGCGTTTTAAATAGCCGCATGTCTACCCGGCTAAATGGTGGCAGAGCAGCTCTGTCTGGAAGAGGCTGTTTTTAGAAGGAAAACAGTCAGAGGAAATGTTTTTGCCAGAAATGTTGGAAATGGTACAAAACCAAAAGGGAGCATGCAAACGAGCTCCCCGCGTTGGGCAGGCTCATGAAACGCCCTGGTTCAGAGCAGTGTCTGGGTGAGATTGAAGGAGGGGACAGACCTCTGTTGTGCGACCAGCCCCAGGGCCATGCTAAAGCCTTGTGTCAGAGGCTGGAGCCTCCCCACTAGCCACGGCGCTTGGGCTCTCCAGCCAGCAGTGGCCATGCCCCAGCCCTCTGCACACAGGGAGCGGCTGCCTGAGCTGTCTCGGCACTCCCAGCTTCCTTGAGCTCTTTGGTTCCCTGCTAGATATCTCCACCAAGGGTCAGACAGCCCTTGGGTGCAGCCTCGTGCATCTCAGTTAGGGAGGTGCTACGTGCCACTCTCCCAGATACCTAAATCGTCCTGTGGAGAGCTGCACCAGGTGGGGAGCACCTCTTGCAGCTCTTTTTCCGTTTCTCTACAGCAGTGATACTGCAGGGCTGGCTCGCTGTTTACCCAGCAAATCTCTGTGGTCTGTGGTTTGCTTTGTGAAGGCAGCTGGTGGGAGGGTGAGCTCCACCGGGACAGCACAGAGCTGGGCAGGAGCTCTGCTGCCTGCAGGAGCGAGTGTCATGGTCTTTAACCAGCCCCAGTTGTGCACACTTTTGTTTTTGTGGGCACAGCTTGCATTCTCTCCAGGCTGATTACCAGAAAATGCAAAGCATCCATAACTCCATCACAGTTTACTGGGAGCCTCAGCAGATCTGCACCTTGCAAAATCTGCTCTGGAGAGTCTTAAATTAGGCACCAAAGGCAAACGACTCTTGCGAAGCTGCTGACCTTAACCACTTGTCCTTTGCAATTCTCAGAAAATGTGGCTGTTCATACTGCTGTCATTGCAATACTGAAAACTCCGTGCTGAAAGTTAAATTATTTCCAATCTATATGGTTAGGATGCTACATGACATTCCGGTATGTAATTTTATAGCGAAGACGTCCATTTGCTCAGTGGGCTCCCGATAGGACATTTGGTACCGGACGTGGAATTGATCTATTTGCAGAATGTTTGCATGGAGATTATTTTGCATAAACCTGTTCAGCAAGATTTGCTGCAGGCACAGGAGGACAGGAGAGACGATAAGTCAGAGGACGTTAGAGAAGTGCCGAGGTTTTAGGGACTCATTTGGACTGTTTCAAAGGATGATGGCAGGAATTACTTTTATGGGAATAGGAAGAGAGGGTAACACGGACCTCCGTCTGTCTTACTCGTACCTGAGCTCTTTTGTCCATTAGTCTCCAAGGCTTCTGCTGCAGAATCAAAAATGCTCCATCTTGTTTTGTAGATAGGGAAATGATGCCTGAGCAGGATACTGACACCTCTACTAAGAGCATTCCCTAAACACTGGTACGATGGCCTAGGTCAGTGCTCCAGACACGGGACAACTTTGTAGAGGCGCTGGAGATCAGGACGGATTTAGGATGTAAGAGCCACGTTACTTGAGCACTTCACCCTTACAGTTCAGCTGAATTTGAAGGCTCGTTATGCTTTCTTGATTAACATAATTTCAAAAGGCGTTCAGACAGCAAGGTGATGAACTCAATTTAAATACCAAGCCAGGCTGGACTTGTGGCAGGAAGGGCAGAAAAACTGCCTACAGCATGTGCCCCATGCGATAACTTGGCCAGGGGCAGTGTTGGGGTTGGGCAAAATGAGGACATGGCTGTATTCAGCTGGGTGACCCATGGCATGTGGGGCTGGCACCATCATGGGGGGCTACCTCCCTTTGGAAGATGGGCACCAAAAGAGAGAGCTTTGTTTATATTGGTTTAGGAAGAAATACAGTTAAAGCAGGAGGACACAACTGGTTTGACTGCAATTGTAGCCTCCAAGCACTTTTGTGTGGTATTTCTGCAACAGCGAGCAATAAGTGGAATTATCTACTTGACCGATATTAAACCGGTGCATTGCAGCTGTCACGAAATTCTTCTAAACCAGATCTTTTTGCAGCTCCTTGTATGCCAGAAGTGCTGTTTCTTCCAGGTTACCTGAAAACCTGAGGTGCTGGATGTGCACCCGTTACTGGTGTGGTACATTTGGCCAAGGCCAGGGCACTGCTCAGCCTGGCTGGTTACGAGGCCCTGCTGGACAAACCCTCTTTGCAGACACTGAGCTGAGAAGCTGCACTTAAGGAACCTGATGGACCTTGATCCCTCGCCTTCTGGGCAGTGCTGAACTGGGAGGTGAACCCATCCCTGAATAAAAACTAATTTCCATCAAGGTTAGGCTTATCTGCAGGCTGAACGGGGCAAAGCTGCAAGGATAAGCCATGCGCAGGGCATTCAGTGATGCCTCAGCGAATCCATGCAGGCTTGTGCTTAATGGAGAGATGTTGTGAAAGCTTCTGCCTACTGCTTAAAAACTCGCATTGGACTTAAAATGTGAGAAGAGGGCTGACTCCCTCTCTACATATCTGTAGTCAAGAGTTGTCAAACATGTTGGAGGTGTTTATACCCCAGTGGCTCTGTTTAGCTGAAGCACTCGCCTCATGCTTGCTAGCTGAACCAGCAAAGTCTTTCTGTCTTTCTCTGCACCTGAGCCCACGTGGACGTTCCCATTGGGTGGAGGTTCTGGAAACCTGCAGGCATGGGTCACCGCAGCCAGCAAACACTTCACAAATTCACTGCACAGATCCATTTCTCTTCCTGGAATTGGGCCTTATGCAAACATCAGTGAAACTGTGTTCTCTGTGATGCATCGTCTGAGCCTTCTTTCCAGCAGATCCTGCTTCTTTTTTGCATCAACTCAGATACTAAATCTAGGACATGGATGCTCAATCCTGCCTTCTGGGCTCTCATCCATCAGATTTGCAAAATTTTTTGTGATACAACAGTAATAGCAAGCTGCTTGTGTTAAATGGCATGCTATCAGGAAAGCCTTTCCAAAAGGGATCTTAGTCTTTGATCATTCTTTCTATTATCAGAAAACAAAGTATTCCTTTTGGTGATGAAAAATGAAAGCCCAGTTCGTCCTTCAGAATGGTGCTGGGTTCCTGCTCCTCAGACATGGCACAGCAAGCCACTCAACATTGATGTTGGATACAAACCCCTGAAATGTGCAAAGTGATAAGCCCATCGCTGCCCCTTCTGCACTGGTGATCGACAGCATCTAGCACAGAATAACAAAAAGGAGGAATGCACTTTATTAAAGATGAGCATTTGATACCAAAAATTAAGCGTGGCCATAACAATTACAGCCATCTAGTGGGCAAAAGTTTTGTTTTGCTTTTTTTTTTTTTAATTAAAAAAAGTATTGATATGCAATTTTAACAGGAAAATATCTGTAAATGGCAGAGGTCCATCAAAGAACTAGCAGAAGGAGGGGCTTGTACCCTTTTTTACTATTTTTCATGAATACATAAAATCTTAAGTATTTTCCTTCTGGCATTGTACTTTGGAAATGTTAGGAAAATTAGGTCTCATCTGGCACTACCATTTTAATGAGGGACTTGCTGAGAATATCTGATGAAGTGCGTTATTGCTCACACTTCAGCCAAAGGGACAGGACTGATTTTTTTAACAGAGATATCCTTTCTCCAAATGGTTCATTACATTTTAAAGTTAGATATGTGACGACAAAACCTTTAGTTAAGTAGATAGCAACGAATCAGCATGCTTCACAGAGTGATTAAGAATCTCTTTCTTCAGTTGCTTTGTATATATTCCTTTGGCTCTTGATGTCATCCATCATTTCAGGAGCTCTTCAGGCATCGAAGGGTATTTCATGTTTGATAGCATCTCTAGTGATTTCTACTGAAAAAGCAAATTGGAAAGTAAGTATTTTGTCTAAATCTTTGCATATCAAAAGGAAGAAAAAGTACATCCCTCTCTTTATCTTACTTTCATATGCGGCATACGGACTGAAACTATGAACTTCAGATCTGAATTCCAAGAACTCCAAAGCATTTTGATTTAGTCCATAATCAAATCTGCACTGGGAGTTCATAACAATGCTTTTTAATCCACCTAGGAGGGAGGGAAAAGATTCTCTATAAGAGGGTTTGCTCTGTTAGAAGTTGGTGGGCTTTTTTTGTTTGTTTGTTTTATTTTTTTTTAACTTCACTTGTACTCAAATTTTTTAAAAACATATTTACAGAACAAACCTTCTTAGAATAATCTCTGCAGGCTTTTGACTGCATGCCTTGGAGTGGAATAACAGGCTATAGGATTTTTAACCCTATGACAAGCAATAACTGGCTGTGAATTTTGGAAATCCTCTTTGGCATGTATTCAAGCCAATATTAATGAAAAACGCCCCATGCCAATCTCATGACTCATCCCAACCGGCAGTTTCTGACACTCATCCCATAAGTCACTGGCCTTCCCTGGGAAGAAAACAAAGCTGCCCCTCCCTTCCTTCCTGCAGGCTCATGGATGTGAACTGCTGCTAAACCGGTGCATCTTTTGTATTGGCGAGTATTTAATTTGGGGTTTGATCTATGGATTTCAAAGGGGAGTTTGTCACTGCGTAATTCTTCTCAACTTGTGAGCTCTGCCGTGCTGAGCAGCTCTGTGGTGCTGCCTGCTGCCACCCCCCATTTCACGTTTAGGGCATGAGAAACTTTTCTGCAGCCAGTATGCGAAATCCTCTTTGCACCTCTGGTGCAAATCTCTCCAAAGACAGCTATACATACCAAATGTTATGCTGCTTCTAAATCCTATGTATTAGTAGGAGATAGTACATACATATATGTGTACTTCATATATTATTGATATAGTGCGCAGATATCCAAGTAACCATTATCCATAGGTAGACAATGTTTGCAAAGGAAAATGCTGTTTTAAGTACCGTGGTCCTGCAGAATCGTGTGTGCTGGGCTGTCTTGCCCTGTGGCCGTTGAGCGAGGGCCTTTTCCCCATCCCCCAGGTGAGAGGTGAGCAGTGAAAGGCAGAAGCTCAGCTGGTCTGATTGTGAATTTCTTGACCTCTGACAGTTTTGTTTTTTTTTAAATCACAGACTTCTCTAAGCATGGGCTGTGCAGTTTAGTGTGCCATAAAAAATCTTAGATAGATACAGAGCTAGATTTGTGATGCAGTTACTGGTATTTCATTAACCTTTATCTTGACAAGTGGAAATAACGCGCTGTGATTCGGGGTAAATTTTTCACTTGAAGAGAAAAATGGAGCCAAAATGGAAGTGAACGGTCTAGAAATTAATAAATACAAATCTGAAAGCACAAATCACCTCCCAGCGGGACCAGGCCGCTTGTGCGCGTTGCTGATGACTGTCTGTGCACTCTGGATCCTGACAGCATGGGTACGAAACTGCTGGTGCCATGCAGCCCCAGGGAAAAAAGTGGGTTCTAGGAGGGCTTGAGCTCAACCCGGCCTCTCTTTGACTGCAGAGTCTGCGGTGGCCGGCAGAGTCCCCCAGAGGAGACAGCAGAGCTGGTGAGTAATAAGGATAACTGATGTTTTTCCAAGTCAAAACCAGCCTGACTCACCACTATTTTGTTTCTTTTATTGTTATTTGTATTGCTCTGATGCCAGACATCAGATCTCAGTTATTGAGCCCAGAGTTTTATCGCTGTATAACAGGAGAAAGTGCCCTCTGAAATGCTTCCAGACTAAATCAGTAGGAGGGGAAAAAAGGAAAAGCAAAACAGCTCTCGCACTGCTGCCCTGTGATTTGGGCCTAAAAACCCTCTTCTGCCCTGCTCCTGAGCAAGCACCCTCACTTACCCATTGTGGCATATTTTTCAGCTGGCTTTGCAAACACTTAGGTTTGTAAGTCATTGATGCTGTGCAGTTTTCCAAATCAGAGACCTGCTCAGAGCCCATGTCCCTGGACCCCTGGTGCTCTAGCACTCGCTGCCTGCAGGGGCTGCTCATAGCAGCACCATTCTACCGAGGTCTTGGTCTGAGGGCACCTGAGACTGAAGCATGGCTGCAGAAAAGGAGCAGAAGGTAGATCCACCACAGACAGAGCTCTGGCCCTGCTGTCCTACAGCAAGTGGCACAGCCTTGGACAGCCACTGCCTGTCCTCTGTTAGGTGAGGTCAGTGTTCCTGGGCAGGGATGCCATGAACATGTCTCTCTGGGGCTGGTATATAACATGGAAATGTCTCTCTCAAGCCAGTGTCTAGCATGGGATAAGCATCAGGCTGTCTGTGATATCCATCAGCCTCTTGAGGTTTTTGTGACACCCCAGGTGTTACCATTGCAGGGAGCAGTCATGCTCACTATTGCATCTGTCAAAGCAGAAGACATCTATCTATACCTTGAAAGTCTTCATCCTTACCCCTAGGATTTTAATAAAATATAAGGCCCTGCATCTGGTAGCATCAATAGAAGCAGAACTATTCCCAGATACAGACAGAGAAATACGTGTACAAACAGAGGGAACCTAGATGTAAGAGAGACAAAAGCTGGCTGGAAGATCAATGCAGGAAAGATTTGTGAAAGGTCTGGGCTTTAATGGGATGAGTAGGATGGGACTTGGCATACATCAAAGCTATTAGGAGCAACACAGAAAAACTTGAGATTTGGACAGTGAGAAGAGGCAGAGGACAGCTGGAAGAGGAGGCTGGGAGGACAGCATGTGGAGGAGGCTGTTTTAGCTTGTGTGCACCACTGGAAGAGTGAAGGCAGCTGCAAAGCCTGGTCAAATGTTGGAAGAAGACAATGTATATATGAGAGCAAGAGAACAGGGTCGCCCAGCAGCAGGGCAGGAGGCAGGGCAAGGTGGTGTTTTGGCCAATCTCAGCTTGCGTCTTGGCTTGGGAAAGCATGCCTGGCATTTTTGTCAGCGGTGTCTCTTGAAATAAATCACCACCCGCTCTGGAGACTTGTGCCTGTGTCTTGAGACAATTATTGCTTTCTTCTAGCCTGGGCTGTGTAAAAATGCATTGCTTCTCGTTGTGAGAAATTCTCATCTCCTTCTGTCAGTCATCTTGTCTCAGCAGGGAAAAAAATCCCCAAACCCTGTCATATCAGAAAATGAGAAAATTATCAATATCTACAGTGTATGTGAAAAATATGAGCTCTTTCTCTATTTGGGAGAATGGATCTCGGTTGTAAAATGTTATAAATGTTAGCAGCTTCTCAGACATTCAAAAATGTTAATGATCCTATGGTACGAAAATAGCTTGCCATAGAGTTCTCTATATTACAAATACTGTCTTGCCCGCTGCAGCCACCTAAAAGACTATCCAGGATGAATGGCCCTATGTGTTGCTTTATGTATTCAGAAAGCAGAGTCAGGATTAGGACGTTCATGCAGACACAACAGGCTCTGATGACTGCCTGCATATCTGGAGTGAGGATCGAGCTTCGGTGCCTGCGATCAGGTTAATAAATACTATCGCCTTCCTCCCCCTGAGCGTAGGAATAAAAACCACCTGACAACAGCTGTATCTCTGAATTGGAGCCCGTCAGTGGAGGAAATCTCTGCTTCAGCCAGCTCCCCATGAGGAACCTGGGGCAGCTCCTTCCCCGCTTCAGGCTGCCAGCTCGGCGGGCACAGCTCGCCTCCTTTGGGTGCCCGCAGCTCCTGCCTACGTGCACCTCCGGCGGCTCTGCAGGACCGCGGCTCTGAGTCACATCCCCAGGCATGCAGAGGAGTGGTTTAATTCTATTCCAAACCCAAATTTATTAGCGCTACCTGGAATCACAGGTTTGAGTCTTGGCACCTGCGAAGGCGGCTGGCTTGAGGCCTGTGTGGAGGAACCTTCGCTGCTTCTACGGCACTCCTGTGGTAGGGCTCACAATTATATTTGAATTTGTTCTGCTTTTTCCTTTTCAAATATTTGTCCCTTTTGCTTTTGTGAGCCATCGATTGTTTTGTTTCCCCACCAGATTAGTTTATTCCTCTCACTGGAAGCTTTGGGCTTTTGCAGCTGAATAGAACCCGGGAGACCTGAGCGTGAGGACTGAAGACAGAGCACAACACAAAAAGGGCAGCGGGTGCTCAGCAGACACCACAAACCACTTAAAACGTCTTTTGTTTATTAGCTATTGTTCGGTTAAATATAGCACCTGCAGCTGGAACAATAGGCAGTGGCAGAGGACGGGCTTTGTGTGCACAGGGACTATCACCGGGCGCCGAGGCGAGGCCTCAGCGCATTAGGCCGCAGGCAGAGTGCAGCGGATTTGCCTGGAAAGCCCCCGTAATGCCATTATAAGCGGCCCATTAGCAGAGCTACCGAGGAGACTGCATAAACGATGTCTATCTCGTTGCTGCGAGCCTGCGGCGGGGAAGGTTTATTTAACCAATTTGGCACAGGGAAGGTGGACGTTGGTGGGGCCCTGGAGCCATGGGATGGCGGATGGTGCTGGGGGAGATGGGTCCAAGGCACCCAAATGGGCCACCCACTCCTCTTCCTCCCCTTCCTCCCATGGTGGTCCCTGAGGAGAGGCTTTCCCCCTGCAGATCCATCCCCACACGGCCTGATATATCCCCATCCCATCCCAGCTGGTGTTGTGTTGCGTTGTGCCTGCCCTGCTCCTGGGCTTCCTGCGGCACAAAAACAGGGCGTTTTCAGACACTTAAGCATGTGTTTCCTCAAAACTTGTGGTGGGACTCTAAAGGGAGCTACTGTGCGCATGAAGCCATCCAAAGCTTTTCGGATTCCCCAGCTGAATGAAATGTGAATGTGGGTTTTGTTGTTGTTGTGTTGTTTTTCTTTTTCCGCCATTAATTTCCTCTGTTCCGAAGCAGAACTGAGCTTTCTGATATAATTAGCCTTCCTTTCCCAAAGAAATATAATGGTTTTGAAAAATTGCCTGCATTTTATACACCCAACATCTGGATTTGGTAAAAATTCTGAAACTTCTTTAACGCTACTTGCGGTCTAGAGGAAGGGAGGGCGATATTTAGTTGATGATCTTTGCCCTCGTTTTTAAGAAAAAAAAAAAACAAGCCATCAATTCAGCTGCTGGCAATTGAAAAAGCAGTTAGGCTGAACTCTCTTTTAAGTGAACAAACACTTAACGGATCTATTTATACCTGCCCTGAAGCAGACTACTGTAGGTGGAAATGCTGTAATTATTTCCTTTCCCTGCTTTCTACTGTCCTATAAAGATCTCCTGGAGCAGCTTGTTAACAAGTTACTGCTGTACATGGGTGAAATTAAAATCAAACCCAGGTTAACAACAAAACCAATTTGCCTAAAAATGACTAGAACTAGCTGTAACAAAGGTGAGACATGCTTGAAGGCTGCTAAGAGACAGCTTCTGTTGCTTAGCCCCATCTATCTAAGAAGGCTGAGAACTACAAATGATAAGTGTTTGGCAGTTGAGGGGGGACCGGGACCTGATTAGTAGTGATGAGGGGATGCAACAATTCTTTTTTCCCCCGTGTTTTTTTTTTTCCCATCAGTGCATATTTTCAATTAAATTTCCCTCCCAAGGAGTCCCTCTCCTTGATTATCTTCCTGCTTTTCTCCCTTCTCCTATTCCCTGGGTTTATTTCCAGAGGAGATGATCTCTTCCATTCACCGCCCAGGTTAACTCTAGTTTCAGCAGCAAGGATCGTTTAAGCTACAAAAAGCTTTTACTGAGTCCATGTTACAGCCTGGGAGTTGTAAGGGAGTTGTAACCCAGGAGTGTCTGGTCACCAGACAGCATCTCCAGCTGCCTCTGGGCTGGCGTGTCGGGGCTGCGTGCATTCCTGTACTCTCAGTACGATGGCCCCAAGCCATTATGCTTCATATCAAGTCAGGAGGGTCACGGACTAGATTACAGCTGGTTATGGTCCAGGTGGGAGGTGCCGATGAAACAGGGGGAAAAAAAATCGTTAACGCTCAGCATGGCAGCCTGTTCCGTGAAGTAATTTTTAATCTGGAAAATGAATGGAAAATGAAGTTGTTGTTTTTTAAGTGCCCATAGATTTTTAGCACTCTGTGTTGCTATGGGTTATTAGGAATGGCTAGTGGTAATATTTACTATTGTCTTCTGTGATTACAGAGTCCAAATTATTCAGTTATATGAAATAAGCTCTATACTGTTTAGAACTATGAAGGGTTGCCTTTTAGTTCAAGCAACAAGAAATGATGCTTCTGGAGCAAGGGGATGGCTGTGCTGCAAGTCCTGCTGCTACAAATTTCTGCCCCCCTTGAGGCACAAGGGGACAGGATCTGTGAGTTACAAACAGACGGTGCATCTCTAAGAGCCTGAATAGAGCTGGATGTGCTGAGTGCCTTAGTGACACCCTAAATGTGTAACAGCATCGCTCCTTTGGGAAGATGGCAGGCTGCTGGGAGGAAGGAACCATGAGTTGGCTGTGGGGAGGGCAGCAGCGAGTCCCCAAGGAGGGAGTCCTAGCAGAGATATCAAAATCCTCACTATGCCTCAAAAACAAATAGACTGTCTTGATAGCAGGAGATGCACAAAAAAAAAAAAAAAAAAAAAAAAAGGTAGCGATTCAGTGAATTTTTACTGCAGTGTATTTTGGAAGATTTGCCAGATGGCTGGCAGCAAGACTTTTAAACTCTGACTTCTTTTCTGAGCCAGCCATATTATCATCCATCAGACAGTCACTTTGGACTGACATTGCAGAGTGTGGCTGTCTCCTTTAGGTTTGCCTTGCTCCTGTTTATTTCTAGCTGATTTATTTATATCTGGAACTGATACAAGTGGCACAATTTCTTTGTTTCATTAAAAGATTCCTTGATCTAAACTTTAAAAGATTTGTCTACAGAGAGATCAAAGTCAACCAAGCGTATGTTTTGCATCCCTGAGTTTTTCTGACATTCCAGTCTTCAGGTAAATCTGGAAAAGACATTTTGCTGCAGAGTAGTAAGCGGTGTTGATGAGGTTAATGCAGAGCTGATCACCGAATTGTTGCGTACTAATGTGTGCCTCTTGTCCAGGCTTCTTAATTATTATTTTCTAAGAGGTGAAACAGTGTTGACAGAGCTTAAACTATCAAACATTTGTCAAGGTAAAACTGAGAGCCAAATGCAAGCATGGAAAATTACATCCCACTGCCCAGCAACTCACAATCAAGCACGTAAAATACGATTTGCACAGCTGAACGGAGGCATTGTCAGGGTGCTCACCAAGGAGCCGAGCACTCCTGAACTTGATCTGCCACAACCTGTGGCTTACTCCTGGGAAAATTGCATGCAGCTCATTCTCTATAAGAAGCTACTAATCCTGGATACCTCATTTATTAATTTTTGGCTGTGAATCTCAGCCCCTCCACATCCCCTGATTTCTAGACCAGCCAGAGGTGGCAGCTGCCACCAGGACAGAGCTGTCTCGCTCCCTGCTGTTGCTGGAGGGCCAGTGGAAACCTTTTCCTCCCAGCTAGCTCAACTTCTCCATCAATTAGCGGGTCTCAAGCATGCGTTTCTGCCCCGTTGCCTGTTACCTGCTAGTGCCATTGAAAGGAAAGGGTGTTTGTGGATGCTTTGAAGATGTAAAGCTCTATAGGATTGCTGCACATTGTTGTGGATTGTTTGGGTATGTCCTGGATATGAATCACCTTGCTCTTTCTGACCTACTGTCCTAATTGAGCTTCGTGTATTCTTCAGGCACTCGTCACTGTCTGTGCCCTACCTTTTGGCAATAAAGCAGCAGCCTGGAGCTGCAGGTGTTTGCCTCGCTCCCTCATTCCGTGACAAATTAAAGGAGATTTAGTAAATGGATGTGCTGAATCATGGATCCTCCCCAAACATGACCCTGGATCGCTGCCCCTTTGTTTTGCTGTTGTCCGCAGTGGGGTCAGGCTAGGACATGGCTTTCCCGTCGGCTATGTGAATTTTACTGCTCTGCATGTTCCAGTAAAATCAAAGGCCTGAGAAAGGGATTCTGTGGAAGCTTTTTTTTGTCAGTGACTTTACCCTCGTTAGTTATCATTTAGAGCACGAGCCTTGGGGCAGCACCAGCACAGTTCCTCCTGTCTGATTATGGGGGCACTACTGCTTCTTCAAATACCTCCACAGCCAGGTGGATCAGAAACACAAGCTGCTTCTGCCCTGCTCCTCCAGCACGTTTAGGCTGGAGACCCTGACCCTGACCCTGACCACCTTATATTTTCTATATATTGAAGGGGGAAACCACCTGCCTGCTCCGAGTCCCCTGTAGTGAGACACAGCCTGGTCACAACCCTTTGAAGAACTTCTACCCCAGGGCTTATCTTCACTGCAAAATTAGCTCAGGCTTCCAGCCAAGGGTGCCCCAGCCTCCCAGCTCTGCCCTCTCCAAGCAGCGCAATGGAAAATTGCCGTCAAGCGACCCACCAGTGGCTGCAGATTACGGTTTAAACGCTGCTCATGCTGGAGTCGCTGGCGTGGCTGCAGTGGTACAGACGTCAGCCCGTGCTGCTCCACGCTGTGCGGCCCCTGGCCCTCTCTTGAGACCCTCTGTGATGCTCAGCTTGCCACCTGGTGCTGTCCCGGTTCTGCTGTCCCCGCTCGGCTGACAGCTGGGCAGGCTGGTGCCAAACGCTTAGCAGGAAAGGTCTGGGTGGGAACACTGAGCTTGAGCACCTGGTGTCTTCCCTTTTGAGAATAAGCTTCTTGTAAGAGAGGGCTGTCCAAGGTGGCCTGGGCTGGGAGCACCAACCTGGGGGAGCCATGGGCGCTTTATTTTTTGCTGCTTATTTTGAAGGTTTCAGACCATCTTTTTTTCTATTCAATTTTTTTTTTCATTTTTCTCTCTTTTTTTTTTTCCTTCTGTCCTTTAATTCTTTGTGTTTTGCAATAATACAGCACTGTTATGCATTGACCAGAAGAGATCAGATCCTTGATTCTGGCCCTGTTCTAGATCAGTTCTGAATTTCGCATTCTCTGTGCATATTTGTAGTGCTTTTTACAATGAATTTTACTCTTTTACTTTGGGGGCTCATTGGTATCAGGAAACACAATTCAACTGAGCCTCTTTTTACTCTGTGGAAGGAAGTCCTTGAAGAAAGGTTGATCCAACTTAGAAGAGAACTTGTAGGTAGTAGACGCCCAGTCTCTGGGTGTGAAGGAACAATCACGTTATTATCTTTCTGTCATTGGAGATAAACGAGATCTATTCTTCTGGGGGTGAGGCAGGCGTGATTGATCACTAGATAATAAAAGCTACAGTTCCTGGTTAAGGAACAAGGTTGGGCTGTGCAGCTACGAGTGCTTGTGGAGAACCTAAGCTTGAGGTGTGTGCCCAAGTTGCTCTTCATTTCTGAGCTATTACCTGATACTAAACAAGTCCTATATATAAAGTAAAATTTCAACCTTTTCCATATGTGATTTTCAGTGGCTACTAACGAAATACCTCAGTCAGCAAGAAAGATGTTCGTAGTTAGATGAAAGCTCAACCAAACCCTGCCACCTCTGTCACTGCTTCCACTCCTGGGTCCTTCAGCTCAGGGCTGGTGTCACCTGCAAATCCCCCCAGGTGGGATTGCTGGCTAATGATTGTCATTATTCCAATTATTTAGGTCGTGGCCCTTCTTCCACTCCCTCTTTTCACTACCTGAGTGGTGGAGTCAGAAGAGAGATGACCCAAAGGCACAGGTTCTGGTTTGTCGCATTGCACGGAGCTCTTAGCCTAGGGTTCACTGCTGGCATTGCATCGCTCCGTTCTGGAATTGCTTCTTAAAATCATTCTTCTTTCACTTCAGTGCAGAAACCAAAAAACATTCAGTTTTTAAGGATAATCACACACTGATACCTCCAAAAGAAGTTTTGCAGTATGAAGCCGTTTTCAAGAAAATAGATCTCCATTTAAAATACTTGGGGCTGTGTTTGCTTGCTTGTGTTTGCAGGTGCTTTTATTCAAATGGTCTGCTATGAGCATGTATGTAAAGCGATATAGCCCCAGATTTGACTGAAATGAAGTTGTGAGAATTTATGGAAAAACACTTTGTGAGAAAACATTCACAGCTATGTAGCCTTAGAAACTAGCGAGGTAAGAATTGGAGTTTGAAGAGCGGCTATGAATATGGAGAGCCAGGAGATGGAAAAATCACAAGGGAGGAACTGCACCAGCCGGGATGAAAGATGAGAGCTTCAGCAGAAAACTGATGAAGGTAACGGAGCAGGGGAAAGATGTCCTGTGACAGCGGATGGATTTGTAGCATCCAGCCCCAATTGGAGCATGAAACATAAGCTTGCTTGGAGTGGAGTGGAGAAAAATCAATCAGAAGATTTCACATGTGATTGTGAGACTATAGAGAGCTCCAAGACACCCTGGAACACTGCACCATTTACCCTAATCGGAGGGTGAGTCAGCACTCAATTATGTGCAGGCAATTTTATATTCAGTTTTCTATGCGTTGGCGACAAAGCAATTTAGATAATATGGTCGTATAGCAGAATCACCTTCTTTACAAGTCTGAGTTACATTAGCTGAAATAAAAAGTATGTCACTGCTCATTTTCCAGTGTATAAGATAATCATCATGTGGGATCAAGAAGAAATCTCTTCTTCCCATTGCCAAAGCAACATAATTGTGCAACACGGCTGGTTTCTCTCTTCTGAAGTATAAGTTATGGCTACTCTTGAGACTAGACAGATCCACCACTGTGTGCAGATACTGTCTGAAGTCTTGCACAGTAATAAGAGCACAAGATATAATAACTCCTACTGGTTTGTGTACTCAAGGGAAAACATTCTGTTGTAATGAAGTGGGTTGTGTATCTGAAGGTATGTAAGGACTGCTCACTCTGTCCATCACATGTCAAAGACCTGTGATCTGGGAAATAGAAGGATCTGTGTTCTCTCCCTGCCACAGCCTTATTGGAATATAAAGTCACAAGAGTAATGTCCTGGGAGATTTCAAGATGTGGCTCCAGGTTTGCACAATGTTTTGCCATCGGTTCAGGAAAGATGTTATGCTAATCTGACCTTTTTCTTCATCTTTAAGGCACGTATTATATTATTTTGGAGCAATTATACCCTTAGGAACCAAAGGTTGGAGAGGAAATGAGTGATTTACTATGCTTTTAATCAATGATTTAAACTGGATGATTGTTTCAATGCCACTGACGGATTCAAATCTTCTGTGAGCTACTCCTTACATGAACTAGATGCATGAACTGCATTAAAAAGCACTTTGTGCATCCCAGGAGCAAACACTGAGCTGGAATCTTCATTCCATTTCATTGTTCCTGTTGCCATAACTCCATAGACTTTAATGTGAGTTGAGCAAGGGTCAGATATGGAGCATAATGAACTCAAAGAGAGATTTCCATTGGATTTTTTTTCCTGTGGATAATACCCTTAAAGACTCAGGGTCAAACATTCATCTGTGATAAGCTGGCATCTCTGTCCAGCTAGCACTCTGTGTCTGTACTGTACTTCAGGCACCTGAAATTTCCTTTCCCTTCCCGTCCCCCACTCATTCTGTTCTTCAGATTGGTTTTCTGAGCTCAGCATTCTCTAAGTACGAGTGCATTTTAGCTGTCATGGTCAAGTTTACCCACAAATGCTTTTTTTGTCTATTAATTTATTGGACAGAAAAGACCAATGATGCATAGAGAAGTATCTAAACTTATGTTCAGATCTTGAAAGCATTCTGCTTAGAAACCAGCATGTGTTCAGAGCAACTCGGTTTCTGTTCCTCTCAAAAGAAGCACCCTCGGTTTTTTTAATTAATGTGAAGATAGCTTCCAGTGATCTTCCTCTATCCATCACGATATTGACATTTGAACTCCTTTTACTTTGAAGTCACCATCACTCAGATTGTCACAGCTTGACAGCACAGTCGGTTAACTCGGCACTTCCCAAATTAATGCTCTCAGATTCAGTATCAATACATGGGACATTTGGCTTTCTTACATGTGAAATTCTGCATGTCATCTAGTAGTCAGTGACTAAACTCTCAAAGTCCTGGGCCGTGCATAAAGCACTGTTACTGACAGCAGCAGGATTGTGGAAAGGTATCAGAAACCCAGTTAGGGGCCACATGCTCCAGAAGCACAGATTGTTTCATTTATGCTTATCACATAAAAGCTTAAAATACGGATGGTTTCCTACAGAGATGTATTATTCTTGGTTGCCCTAAATTCGTAGTCAAGAACCAGGTGAGATCTTCTAGCGATGTTAAAATTATATCTTGTTCTGGACTTTATGGCAATAACCGAGGCATCAGCACTTAGGGAAAGGCGACTTTCTCCGGAGCAATATTACAAGAGCAGTTCTTTCACGGACCAGTAAGCACTGCCTCTCTCAAAGATGACTTGGGATAGGAGACAAAAATAGCTGTAGGTCTTTTTTGCTTCCTTATTGCTTCCATATGACAAATGGATCATGTGAGAAACGTTGGCACAAAAAGCAATCCTTCCCTCCCTTCTCATTCAAGATGTGCCTACCTTGTTTTCTTGAAAGGCTAGAGAACAGTAAGGGGTTGATCACATCCTTGCTAAGCCAAAAAAATAAAAAAATAAAAATCATGGCTGGGAGAGCCAAAGGGTGAGAATTTGGAGCAATGGTTTAGCAGGTACATCAGGGCTAGCAAGGAGGGGTTGTATTGGCTGGATCTTGGCCTCAATAAATACGAGTTTCCATTTATTTCCAAGAGTCTCCCCTGGGCATTCTCCGTCATATTTTTTTACCCTAAGAGATGATAATCTGAATGTCAAAAATTAGCAGAGCCTCTGTGTTTATCAGGCATTTGTGGTAAACAGACGCCGCTCCGTTACTCCTCCTTGCAGTTTAAGCAGCAATTTCCTTATTTTCATATATTTAATATAGTCCTCAGTTTTTCATATTTAGCATCTCCTTTTTCACATTTAGTATCTCTCAGTTAAAAAGATTGACTAGTTTTCCTGGATTTAGCCTCTCAAGAAATAGATTTAGCAGTTTTCCTGGAAAATGCTAAGTAAGCAAAATTCTTCACTAAGGTCTTAATGAAACCTGCCTTCAGAAGAGACTTTTCAAGCTGCTTTCATCTGTCAGAAATTAAAAGGGCAAAAAATCAGTCTTTTATCTCCAGTGTTTACTTTTGATCCCCATAAAATAATTACGGTGAGCTGTCCTTACAGCTTAACGAGCAGCTTTCTGTCTCTAAAACTGTTCATGAATGGCTGGTGGTAACAAGCAGGGTGAAGCATCTGAAGCTGATTAACTGAGAAGTTAGATGGCTATCAGCTAGGACAGACCTAACCTCATAATTTTATCTGTTAGCAGATACTGCAGAACTGATTGACATTAAACTGGCAGCATCCCAACGCAAAGGTGAACTCGAGGAAAAAATTATATCGGATTTTAATAAAACTTTCCTCAAAGGTCAACCTCTCTAAAGTATAAAATCAATTTTTCTTCCTTCCTTCTTTTTAAGGCTGTTTTCTCATAACTACAGAAAATTCTGATACTCATGAAATATTTCCCATTGCCTTTTTCCCATAACGGTATCTATCTGCTTGTGATCATTCTTTTTCTCAGTATTTTTATTTAGATTCACTATTCCCCATTTCTCTCCTTGTACCTGGCCTTATCAGGATCTGTTCCCCTTTCTCAAAACATCACTTATCAGGTCCCTGGTCAACAACAGATCTTGCCTCATAGCAGCTTCAGGATGCAAAACCTTCTCACTTCATCCTTGAAGATGGCTGAAACTTTGGGAAGAGCAAAGTTTTGGTGCAAAGTCTTTATTAAAGCATGCCAGGCTTCTCCTGGTTTTATTTTTTCCTTCTTACCCAGCAGCTGCCTTCTGTGTCTTGCTCGGGACTCCAGTAACTTTTGCCAAGTAAGCCACACGAGCACCATGCCACTTAGGAAAGAAGGATGTCCTTGTGAGCCCCATGCTTCTGCGGGTCACTCCCCTTTGCTTTTATTGGCCCAGAAAAATAATATGTGTTGTCTTTTTCTTTTCTATTTCAAGCACAATCACTAATATCTAAGAAAGTACCAGCTTAGAAGTATTTTATTTTTTAGAGTGTGCTGACTGCACAGAGCGGGAGGTACCCAAATTTTGTTTCTTCATCCTTGGCATATAAGTTCCAGCGCTTGATAGCCAAATTTTTAAAGTCTTGGCATACCAGAGCCAGTAACATCACATACTTTAAAAGCAAAGGAACTTCTGGTGTGCATGTATGGCTGTGCCCACCCATTTGGGCTGCATTGGGCTGCATCTCTTGAGAATTGGTACCTGGGTCTTTGGGGCTTCCAGGAGTGCTCCAGTGGGGTGCAACATCCCTCGGTGATGCTGGGTGATGTCTCGCAGTCCCAGCTGTTACCATAGCACTTCCCTCCTTCCACTTCAAAGGCTCTTTCTCCCCCTCTGTGGTAGGATTAATGATACAAGACCAACAGACATTTATCTAACCGACAGGTTTGCCTCCCGCCAGCTCTTCCCTGCGTGCTCCCGCAGCCCCAGCACACAAATCCCATTTCTCCAAATTCCGCAGCCCCCTGCACTACGGAACAAGTCCGGGCACAGCTGGGGCTGCTGCGGAGCCAGGCAGCAGTTTGCAGCAAGTCCTTGTTTGCCCTGGGGTAGGAGTCTGCAAACAGGAGTTATCAAACACACATCCTGCCATGTGCACGCCACTTGGCACCGCTGCTCTTGGTCGGAGGTGACTGTTTGCCCCCTTTGCGTTATTAGAGAGGAGCTTGGGGCTCCCCTAGGGGATGTCCTGGCTTGGCTGCTGCTGGGCCAATGCCCCTCGAACTTCTCGGTTTTGGCTGATTTCTCCTCTTCTTGGTTATTCTTTACTCCATCAAAACAACGTTACAGCCAAGCTAATTTTGTGGTTCCCAACTGAAAAATCCTTGTGGTCAGAGAGCTCCCAAAGCCGGGTAACGTCTGCTATGCATGTGCACGCACTGTAACGTGTATTTATGGAGAAATTACTGCTTAGGCTGGTGAAGTGAAATGTAAGAGAATCCACGCTACATGTCAAAATTGTTAAAAATAGATACATGCTGGAGATCAGCCCAGATTGGGTGCTCACACTGGTAGACGACGGAGAAAAGGGACATGCATTACAATCAGCAAATGGATAAAACTGGGCTAGATAGGGATGAATACAAGGCGAAAAGCTTTGCACTTTTTAAAAACCAAAGCCCAGGCTCTCATGCTAAAAGAAGAATTGTATTCCTAAATAGGAAAATGTTAAAAAAGAGACTGGACTATATTCAGGAACATACGTTACAAAGCTTTATGTCTGTTGTGGGGATACACATCATATATTCTGTAGGGGTCAACAACATTCATTTAGTAGAGAGGGTGAAAAGGACCAAGTCGGGCAATGAGTATTCTGAGCCTTGCTTGCTGCTTCTCTTAAATTCTTGTCCATGTTGACAAAGGTTATTAAACTTTTTTCCTGGATATTTTAAGCTCCTTTAAATAACTTGTAAGCTTAAAAAAACCTGTATGTCAGTTTTAGATAATGTATTGATCGATATATAACTCTGGTTTAGATTTTAGAAGATGCTATCAGTTGTTTCAGTAACCTTGGCTTTCTAGTTTAGACTGCAGGGACCTAGACTGTCAAAATTGTAGCTCAGTTCCTGGTGCTGTGGTAAGACAGCCATTGCAGGATATGGCTGTGTGCAAAGATGAGATCAAAACCCTTCTAGTTTAATATAGGTTAAGAGAGTCTCCGTACTTCCAATCTCGCTCTTGCCTCCTTGCAATGCTCTGAAATACTTCCGCTGATTTGTTTTGCTGAGGAGAGAAATTGTCAAGCTTTGCCAGGAAAAAATAGGAATATATATATATATATGTTTAAGATTAATCTCGCAGTTGAATAGTATCGGCAACCTGAGTCAAATTTTGCTGCTGGAGTTGTGATTTTGTATCGATTGCGTTTTTAAAGATTTTTCTAGCAGGGAGAGGCAGACATTTTGTTATTGCTGTGTATTAATCAAAAGGGCTGAAAAATATTGCAGGCCTTACTCTCACATCTTTGTGGACCAAAAAGACAGTTGCATTTGTAAGAATACAAGTCATCCTGGATTAGACTCAGCTTTGAAGTGCTAGTAATTTAACACTACTACAGTTTGGCACCTACTTTTGATGTGTGCTGTGTGCAAGACAATGATCACTGCAGTTTAAAAGTCAGAATTTGCTTTTTCAGACCAATGAGGATAAACCGAAACTTTCCTTGGACCCCTAGAAGGGGACTTGATGCTTGCTGACCTACAGAGCTTATTTTTAGGGCAATTACCTGTCTTCAACATTTAACATAATATTTTTTCAATAGCACGCAATTTTAGCATTGTCTGCATTAGAAGCTTCTTTTTTACATAAGCCATAGAAAAGTACCTCACCATTTTTGCAGCTTTACGGGATCTCACAGCAGTCTTGATTACACACGTATTAGCTTTGTATTTTTAATTCAGCTCCTAATGTTTCTCATGCAGCGTTAAAGCCATTCAACAGAAAGTTTCTGCTTTTACAACCGCTCATTTTGTAGCAACTCAGCAGCACAGTTAGTCGGTTGGTAAAGCTACTTACTAAAGCTCCCCTGAAAACATCGATCTCCCAGGTTGTGCAGTTTTTCCCACTTCAAAGGGAAATCCGCTGCTGCTGCCTCAGTTAGCGCAGAACTGAGCAAAGTAACATGTTGAACTGTTTACGGAAACAGCTGATGTTATCTGCCAATTTGTTCAATGTTTGCCGTACCGGTGAGATTTCTAATTTTATAAAAAAAAAATGCATTTGTCTTTTCAACCGTTCCGGTAGTTATTTCACCCTCTTAACTTTTGTGGTAGAAGTAATGACAACTTGTTCAGAGCGAGAAATCCCAGACTCTCTGGACCTGGCTCCCTGGCTGTGCTGCAGCGACTCTCGCTCGTCTCCACTTCGCCAGGGCTTGGAATTTTCTCATCACCACACCAGTTTCCAATTTGGGGAGCATGGCGATGACATATGGCCCCATTCGCTTTGAAGGTGCAGGCAACCCTTCACAGCGAAGAAAAGCGTGAAGTATTGGGACAAAAAAAAAAAAGCGACTATTTTGAGCCTGAATTATGATTTTCACATTGTTTGCAATACTGCAATCAATCCTAGTAACACCCATATTGATGCATCTGAATAAAAACTATGTTTTGCAACGGGTGAGGCCTTCCAGCAGGACTTTTCGGCAGTGGAAAATCCCCACTCTCACCCTCGCTACCTTTTGCTTCCTTAACACTTCACTTCCCACCCCCTGCGGATTTTAACCTCCTAAGGGTTAAAAAAACCTCGCCATTTCTTCCCAATATTTCCCAAATCACTCCAGGGGCCGGCGAAGCGTTTGTGCCAAAATGCTTTATTGTGACACGAGAAAAAACACCACAGAAACCCCACAGCCGCCTCCTTGGACCCCGGCTCCTGCTCTCGCCGGCCGACAGCAGACCCCCGGCGGTTCGAAGGGGAGCCCTGTGAGGAGATTTGCCCCGGGTTCCTGTCAGCTTCACCCCCGGGGGGGTGGACGAGGGGCGCTGCCGGCCGCCTGAGGGGGACGAGGGGAGCGGGGCGGGCGCCCGCCCGCCCCGCTCCCCTCGTCCCCCTCAGGCGGCCGGCAGCGCCTTTGCCCCCCCCCTCCCCCTCAGCATCAGGCTTTGACGTCGTCCTCCTCGATACCGAGTGACCAATCAGGCGGCCAGCAGGGCGGGCAGCCAGCCAATCGGTCAGCGTTGCTACCTGGGGGGAGTATTTTTAGCCTCGGCGGCTCGGGTAGGGAGGGGGGGGGGTGAGGGAGGCTGCGCCCCTCCTGACAGGGGCGGCTCGCGCTGAGGGGCGCGCCGCCATTTTGCGCCCCCCCACACCTTGACCGTGCCTCGGGGGCGGCCGGAGGCTCCTCGCTCCTGCCCCGAGGTGCCCGAGTTCCCTCCCCAAGGCCCCGCAGGGCCGTGACCGGTCGCTGCCGAGGCCCCCGCGGGCCATCAGCGCAGCGGCGGTCATGGGAGATGTAGTTCGGCGCGGGGCCCTCCTCCCCCCCACCCCCCCATCCCCTCCCCTCCCTGTGGAGCTGAGGGGCGCGAGGGCAGGCTTTGACGTAGGCGGTGACGCAACGCTGTTGCGAGGCGAGGAGCGCGCTGACGTAGAGAGCTGCCCCTCCACGCCGGGCTGGGGGGGAAGGGACGCGGCACCAGCAAGGGGGCGTGGCCTGGAGGCGGTGGGCGTGGCCTGGAGGAGGTGGGCGGGGCTAAACCGGGCGCCGGCCAGCACAGGGTGGTGCTGGGGGGCGTGGCCGGGCGGGGTTGTGGGCGTGGCTAAGAGCAGGGGGCGTGGCAAGGGAGGGGATATATAGGGGCGCGCGGCACGGCGCGGCAGTAGCAGAAGGAGCCGAGCGGCGGCTGCCGGGCGCGCACGTCGCGGGGGTGTGAGCAGCGCAGCCCTCCCCCCCTTTCCCTCCCCCCCCTTTTTTTTTCCAACCCTCCCCCTCCCTTTTTTTTATTTTTTTTTCTTTCTTTTTTTCAATCTTCTTCTTTCCTTTCCCCTCCCATCCTGCGGGAGCCGGCTCAGTTCGGCGAGATGATGATGGGGGCCGGGTGCTGAGCCGCACCCCCCACCCAGCCCCCCCCTCAACCCCAGCACCCCCGCACCCTTCCAGCACTCACACCCCCGCCGGGACTGTTTGCACTACCCCGCACACCCACCCGGGTGAGTACCAACGCCTCAGGCCGGGGGGGGGCCGCGGCAGCCACCGCCCGGCCCTTGAGGCGGAGGGGGGGGGGGCGCTGAGGCGGGCACGGCCCCACCGTGACGGGGAGGGGGTGGGGGGGGGGGACACACCACAGGGGCTGGGGGAAAAAAAAAGGGAGAAGGAGCCCCACAGGGAATGGGGCTGGGGCTGAGGGCACGGCACGGAGCCTCGCGGGGCCGGCTGGGCCCCTGCTGTGTGAGGGGCATCGGGGGGGGGGCTCGAGGCCTCCTCGCCCCTTGTGCCCCCCGCTTGTCCCCTCACGGGGCCCTGCAGACGCTCTCCTTCCTCCTCCTCCTCCTCCTCCTCGGTTTGCCGGAGCTCCCCGGGCCGTGAGGAGAGCCCCAACCGCCGCGTTATGTAACGCCCCGGAGCGCTTGGTGGGCCCGCAGCCGTCTCGGGAAGATTAAAAACGGCGACAGCAGCAGCAGCAGCACCGCAAAATAAAAGTTGGGCACGGCCGAGCTGGCTTGTTTGATCAGCTGCTCGTGGCCCTGGATCCGTTTTGGGGCGTAAGAAAAATATATGGTGTCTGCCCGGCGCGCCTTGAAAGGATCATTTCTTTCCTAAAGGACACGGAGGCGGGGAAACAAAACAGATGGATTAATAAATCATTTTTTAAATGCCCCTTTTAACCACCCAATCAGCTTTTCTGCGCTGATTGTGTCCCTTTTGTAAATATCTTCTGTTTGCCCTTGATCTTTTCCTTATCCCCACCCAGTGCTGATCCAGCAAACGTTTAAAGGTCGCCTTATCTTACAAACTATTCCCATACCATGTTGGGGAGAGCGCAAGTGGCTTGGAAATAGGGTTCCAGGCTTTAAAAGGAGATTATTCGGAGCAAGAAATAACAATGTAAATAACAAAGCTTTTTTTTTTTTTTTAAATGGGATTTTTACCGACTTTGATTTCTTCAGTGACAGCTACGCTGAATTTTGTTCGTGGTGATGCAGTGCAGAAAAGCACACCCTTAATTGAAATTCTTGTTGAGCCTTTCACTTGAGCCAAAAATATATTTTTTTTGTTTCACTGGAACTTTTTATATAAAGGTGTCTCCCGTGGATGAATACCTTATATTAGGGTATTGCAGGATTTTCATTAGCAGGGTGTGTGCTAATACTGGATTCTAGTCCCTTCTTTAACTTTAGATAGCTAATTTCCCTTTTGTCCTTTGAAGGACTGTCAACCATATTTTATATTAAATATAAAATGGAGTCCTAGAGAAGGAGAAAGCCTCAGCAAAAACAATTACCTATGAAAAGCCTTCTTGGCTCAAGTAACTTTTTGAAATCTGGACTATAGACAACACAAAATATGTATTTAGCTAATATATTACATTTGACCTATAGAATAATTAGTAGAAAGAGAAAAATTAGGGAATTGATCTATTGTAATCATTTTTGCAGTCATTGCCACCCTTGTGACGGCAAGTTCATGCATCTATTTTGTATGCATTGACTGCATTATCGTTTTAGCTGTTCCGAGGAAAGGCAGAATTGTTATATATGTACAGCGGACATTTTCTCTTCACGTAGTGTAATTTCGCCAGCGCAGCATAATTCACAACATAATTTCACCAGTTGATGTGAATGGTCGGCTTGGACCTAAAATAAGTGCAGCGTAATTTTAGTTATTTGGGTGAAGTCCTCTAAAGCAACTGAGAATATTTTTATATTTCTGCAGCTTACAGCGTGACCAATGTGTTTGCAAACTTTAAAATGATAAATGAGCCTCGAACTTAAGACCTTTCAAGCTAAACTAATAGTCCAGCGCTAAATTTTGCAGCTGAGTACCATAAATCATCCAAATATGGGTTGGTAATTGAACCCTTGACAGGCCTGGCAGTTCTGTGATGTCTTAAAAATTATACTTGCTGCTTTGTGAATAACTAAAGTGCAAGCTCATGTGATTCTGAAATACCCCATGCTGTATATGTAAACACATGCCTAGTGCATCTTCTGCAGTACTGCTTGTAAGTCACACCGAATGTAGTTGACACCCTCACCTTTTGCAGGCATGAACATAAATAGTTTGCAATTTTTTTTTTGTTTGTTTGTTTGTTTGTTTTTCATTTAAAAAGGAACCTATTTTATGCAAAAAGTGAAGCTAAAAGAATAGGCCTTGGAGCTTGAGCTTACGCTGTCCTTATTTGGATGTGTTTGCTTTTGTTTTTTCTTAAAGGAACAAGAACACTCAAGGTGAAGGATAATAATCTACTAGAATCAGCACTTTGAATGAAATTTTGTTTCCCTGTGGCATCTTGAACACTTTCTTCGTGTTTCGAAACAGACTCAAACCTTTGTGGCATAGCAGCTATGCAGCTTGAAATCCAAGTAGCACTCAATTTTATTATTTCATATTTGTACAATAAGCTTCCCAGACGACGTGTCAACATTTTTGGTGAAGAGCTTGAAAGACTTCTCAAGAAGAAGTATGAAGGGCACTGGTATCCAGAAAAGCCATACAAAGGATCAGGGTTTAGATGTATACATATAGGGGAGAAAGTGGACCCAGTCATAGAACAAGCATCCAAAGAGAGTGGTTTGGACATTGATGATGTTCGTGGCAACTTGCCTCAGGATCTTAGTGTTTGGATTGACCCATTTGAGGTTTCATACCAAATCGGTGAAAAGGGACCAGTGAAAGTGCTTTATGTGGATGATAATGAAAATGGATGTGAGTTGGATAAGGAAATCAAGAACAGCTTTAACCCAGAGGCCCAGGTGTTCATGCCAATTAGTGACCCAGCATCTTCAGTGTCTAGTTCTCCTTCTCCTCCCTTTGGTCACTCTGCTGCTGTGAGCCCAACTTTCATGCCCCGCTCCACTCAGCCTTTAACCTTCACCACTGCCACATTTGCTGCCACCAAGTTTGGCTCGACCAAAATGAAGAATAGCGGCCGTAGCAACAAGGTCGCCCGCACTTCTCCCACCAACCTTGGCTTGAATGTCAATGACCTGTTGAAGCAGAAAGCCCTTTCCTCCTCCATGCACTCTCTCTACGGGCTTGGCTTAGGCAGTCAGCAGCAGCAGCAACAGCAACAGCAGAAGACTTCTGCCCTTTCTCCTAACGCAAAGGAGTTCATTTTCCCCAACATGCAGGGTCAAGGTAGTACCAGTAGCATATTTCCTGGTGACAGCCCCCTTAACCTCAGTCCTCTCCAGTACAGTAATGCCTTTGATATGTTTGCAGCCTATGGAGGTCTAAATGAGAAGTCTTTTGTGGATGGCTTGAATTTTAGTTTAAACAACATGCAGTATTCTAACCAGCAATTCCAGCCAGTTATGGCTAACTAAAAATAAAACAGAAGTGACATACAAGTAAATACTATTGTACAAGTTAAAATGCACGTACCCAAGGGTGTATCTTTTTTTCCACCTCTTGAGATTTTTTTTAAGGCTTGTAGTATGAATACATTCAAGCTTGGTTA